ACCCAACGCCCGTCACCCCTCCCCTCCATGTTTCTCCCTCGCAGGTGCTGCAGCCACGCGGGCAAGGCGCGGCTGGTGGCTGAGCCTGCGGGGGTGCTCTCGCAGGTGGTGCCTCGGGTGAGTAATGACTGAGACGAACTTGTCATCCTGTTGGGTATCATCAAATATCTGCAACCGTGCTGCAGGCATCAGCACTGGTTTGTTGTCGGTCTTCGACACATGCAGCAGTCTGCGATGCACTCCAAGCCTGCCTTTCGGTGGTGGTCCGCATGCCGTGCTGTCACGCCTGCTTTCGTGGCGCGCGCGGCCGCGCTCGGATGGCACCTGCGCTCACACAACGTGCCCCAACAGCACCAGTCCCCGATCGAGCGCTCTTCAACCGACCGAGCCGCCCCGCGTCTTGCTTTGCGCAGGTGCGGCAGACGTTTGAGCGCTTCGACGCGCCGTCCGCCGCCGCCGCCGCGGACGCCCGGCTCGAACACTTTAAGGCGGCGGTCTGGCCGCGGCTGCAGGAGGCGTGTGCGGGCGGGGGCGTGCTGCTTTTCGTGCCGCAGTACTTCGACTTTGTGCGGCTAAGGTGGGCCTCGTTGTGGTGGGGGCCTTGGCTGGTTCTAAGGGTGCCAACCCATAGAGCACATTGGCCCGCCTCTTGGGGGCGCGTGGTCCTAAACCCTAAAACCCCGCATCCTAACCCCTAACCCCTGATCCTGTGTGTGTGGCCGCGGCTGTATGCTTGCTGCTGGGGGCTGCCTATTCATTGCGGCCAGCCGCCGGGCCGCCGCTGGACCTTGGCGCGAATCGATGCATGGATGATGCACATGCGGTGATACAATTTTCACATACATCCGCACAAAGGCGCCCTTGCTGCCCCTCTCCCTCTCATTTCGATCCCAGAAAACACTTGAATGCAACGCATACACACACAAAACACACACAGCCGCACGAGCGCTCACCCGTCTCCCTTGCAAGTCAGAACCAAACACTGCAAACTTTGTGCTTGTGTGTTACCCCAGGAACTTCCTCAAAGCGGAGGAGGCGGACTTCCTGGCGGTATCAGAGTATACACCCTACAGCCAGGTGATAACGTCATTCAATGATGCCTGGTTGGGTGACGTCATCGGGTGATGCCTGGTCGGGATCCATGCCACCAGGGCTCCCTTGGAGGTAGTCGCGGCGCTCGCCTGTCATCTCGCCTCCTTGCATGCGCGCAAACACATACACACACGCACACGCGCGCGCGCACACATTCACACAACGCGCACACACGCACGCACGCACCCCCACCCCACACACACACACACAAACACAAACACAAACACAAACACAAACACACACAACCACACACACACAAACACACACACACACACGCGCGCGCGCGCGTGTGCACGCGCCCGCGCACGCGCCCGCCCGCACCACATCACCCCCAACCCTCACCCCAACCACACCGCACGGACAACGCCCCCCCACCCACACACCAGGTGACGCGCGCACGCTCGCTCTTCTTCCAGCGCCGCACCCCCCTGCTCTTATACACCGAGCGCGCCCACTTCTACCACCGCTATCGCATCCGAGGCATCCGGGTGCGGCTTTGGGGCACTTGCTGCGCTTTTTTGTGTGGGTCCTTTGGTGCTTGGTTTTGGAGCAAATCGGGGTTGAAGGAGGACGACCGTTCGTACTTTGAGGCCTGTTTTGGCTGTGATAGCAGGATGATGTGTCCCAAAAGATATGTCCTTGTGCGTGTGCGTCCAAACATGTGTGTGTGTGGGCACGGCGCGTGTACGGACGCATGCAATTGAAAGCATGCACGTCCCCCATGCTCATGCACGCACGCATGCAAGCTCACACTCAACTGCTCGCCGCATCCCACCCAACGCCCTCAACACTCTCACACCCTCCAAATTTTACAAATCAAAAACCCTTAGGACGCGGTGTTCTACGCCCTTCCGGAGCACGCCCACTTTTACAGCGAGCTCCTGAACCTCTCGGAGGGCGCCGCGGCCGCCGCCGCCCCCGGCCCCGCGCCGGAAGCCGCCGCTGCGGAAGCTGCCGCCGGCGCGCAGGGCTCCGTGGCGGCGCTGTTCTGCAGATATGACGCGCTGGCGCTCGCCAGGGTGGTCGGGGCGGCGCGGGCGCGCAAGATGCTCGCGGCGGAGTCCGGGACGTTCCTTTTCGTCAACCAGTAATTGCGCTCGGCGCCTCGGTTTCCTGTGCAGCGTGGTGGTTGGCATTCCCAGCCCAGCGGCTTGTTTCTGGCAGCGCGCAAGGGCAATGGAAGGCGTGCAGGCAGAGAGGTCCACAGGCAAACGGATTGCTCGACCCAAGCGAAGCAGGGCGGGTCGACGAAAATGAACGGCAATGAGTGGGCAGCGGGCAGTTGCAGAGGGCGGGATGCAGGAGCGTGCTACTATCATCTGTGTGTTTGTGTTTTGAGTGGTGGGGTCGGCTTTCCCGGTGCCATTACGGTGTCATTGGGTGGTCAATGCATAATGTGCAAGGGCAAACCTGACTCATGGCTGCTACATCATTTATCTCGCATAAGAAAGTCTCCACTTTGGCTGGCGGGGGCTCAGCTTGCTGGCGCTAGCTCTAGCTTCTCAACCCTCAAGTAGAAGGGTCGCCGCCTTTGCTTACAGTCTCACAAATCCATGCCAGACCGGTCCATCGCTCGTCAGCCGCGCGGTCGGGCATGCAGGGCGCGCCACGCGGCCCGAGGCGCCGGACAGCGGGATGGTGCCCTCACAACGCGGCCGCTGCTCGACTCGGAAGAGAGGAAAGGGCGCGTGCGCCCCGCCGCCCGGCGGGGCAGAGGCAGCGCCTGGCACCGGCCTCGCCTAAGACAGCCATCAATAAGGGAATAGAGAGGAAGAGGAGGGGCCGACACGAGGGCGCCGCACCGCCACAGGGGGCGGCGGTGGGTTGGCTGCGCACAAGGGTCTGCCCCCTGTACCCTAGGGGTGTCGTAAGCTGCTGCAGCCCCTCTTTTGGCAAGCAGAGCATAGCAGGCTGCGGCATGGGAACCCGCGGGGTGAGAACCTGCGCTGAATGGAGGAAAAATGAGAGAGGGCGCACCTGGCGCAGGGAGCAAAATAACCAAAGGAAACGAATAGGAAGGGGTGGATTTATGGGGTCAGCTGTGGCGGGCGGCGTCAACCCGCACGCCGGGCGGGCGTGATGAGCGGGGGCAGAGGGTGGGGGCTGGACGGAGGGGTGTATCAGAATGCAATAGAAAGAAAAAGAGATGGATCGGGATCAGGGCCAGGGCGCCACCACGCCAAAAGCACACGGAAGGCGCCGCTGGGCTGAGCCCCTTAAACCCTAAACGCGCGGTGCCATGGGGCCCGGCGGGCCCCGGCCGCTCAGCCCCTAGGGACAGGCTTCGGCACCGCCGGCCGGTGGGCCACGGTCTGCGCCGCTGCGCGGAATGCGCCCTGCACGCCCGCCGCCCTGACTGGTACTGCTGCCGCCCTGGCCACCCCCGGCGCGACAGCCCTGACCGCGGCGTGCGGCGCGGCGGACGCGGCGGCGCGCAGCACCGACGCGGCGCCGCTCGGCTTGTGGGGGATGATCACGGTCGCGGACTTCTTAGCAAGCCCCAGGCCCGCCCCGCCCGCAGCGCCGAGGCCGCCGGTCTTGTCGGCCGAATCCTTCATTGCCTTGAGTTTCTGGAGGGCAGCAAGGACGCCGCCGAGGGAGAGGCCGCCGGTGCCGCCCGCAATGGACCCCAGCTCCTGCAGCTGCGCGAGCGACGGCAGCTGGACGGACGGCAGCGACGGGATCAGGTCCCCGCTGAAGATCTTCGGGACGATCTCGAGGCCCTTGTACAGGAGCGCCGCGGGCTGGAACGCCGTCGTGTTGGCGTCGTCCGCGCCCAGGAAGTTGTTGAGCACGTTGAAGGTCGCGTTGTAAGCACCCTCGAACCCGGGCTGCATTTGGCTCGGGAAGTTGAAGTTCGGGAGCAAGACGGTACCGTTGAGAAGCTTGGTCATGTTTGCGACCTTGAAGTCGTCGGTGATGTTGGCGCGGCGCAGCGCCTCCCAGCCCGCGGGTGCGGTGACGTTGCTGGTGTCCCGCAGCACGTCGAGCTTATCCAGCTTCTCGCCGCGCGCCTTCAGCATGCCGAAGCCGGCACCGCCTGAGATGCCGGTGCCGAGCGTGACTGCGGGAAAGAGCGCGGGAGCATTGGCGGGAGGGCGAGATATGAGGGGTGGCGGGGCTGGAAGCAAGCGGCCGCCTGACCACCGTTGACCGTGTTTGACTAGGTTCGACCGCTGGCTGCTAGGCGCCGAGCGGCACCTAACCTGGTGGGCGCGTCTCCCTCGCTGCTCAAAACGCCCGCCCAACCACTCAATATGCAAGCCCTCGGCCCTGCCGCTCCCGTGCCCCACCCTAAACCCTGCCCCCCGCAGCCGTCTACGAGGAGGCAGCAAACCCTGCCGGCGCTCACCACACATGGACATGTCCTCTGACGGCTCCTTGTTCAGGGCGCAGGCGGTGCAGTTCTTGGGGGTGGTCGACCCCTCGAGCGACACGGGCGCGTAGTCGGGGCACGTGTTGCACTGCGCCTGGCCGGTCAAAGTGTTGACCATGCCGTACGTGCCCGACACGCAGACTGCGGGGTCGGAGGGGACGGGATGGTCAGGGGTGAGGAGGGGCAGGCGATGGGTGTGGATTGTGTTTGGGCTGCGGCGTCTGGTTGCTGTTCTGCGTTTGGGGGCCCTGCATACCGGAGAGCGTGGCCTGCTGTTGACAGTCCTGCCTGAGCGGGCCGTCCGCCTTGCAGCAGCGCCCCTCGCCATGCGGCGGCGCCCGTCACCGGACGTACGCCGCAGCGCGCCTGCGCCTCGCGGCGCCACGGCCCCTCTCCTAGCACCAAACCCTGACGCCGTCGCCCGCATGCCCCGCCAGCCCGCCCGCCCTTAGCTTCCCAGACCCCTTTACGGCCACAGCCGATTTCCTGGGCTGATCCCTCAACCCACCGCACTCGTTGCCGAACTCGTTGGGCCACGCCCAGCTGTCGCACTCGACGCACTTGGCCAGCCAGCCGCCGCGGGAGATGTAGCCGGCGGGGCAGTAGTCGCAGACCGCGTTATCGCGCAGGGAGCCGAAGCCGGAGATGCACTCTGGGGTTCGGGGTTGAGGGGTCAGGGTTGAGGGTCAAGGGGTGAGGGTTCAGGGGTCAGGTGTGAGTGTTCAGGGTTGTTTTGAGGCACGGGCAGGACAGCGGCGGGGAAGGACAGGGGGTGCAGCTGCAGGAGGGGCTGCAAGGGGCAAACAAGGGCGGCCAGGAAAAGGGGCTGTCCCCTGGAGGGCGCGGCCCCAGTTTTTGCAGAGCAGGCTTCAAACGCGCCGCCCCGGCCTCCTTGCCCTGTGTGGCCGGCGGGGCGGCAGCCTTGCTGCCCCACCAGAGCCCGGCACCCGCGACCAGGCCTTCCCCTTCCCCTCTCCCCCAAACCAATCACACCCCCGCATCCACCCCAGGCCCAGTGCGTGCAGCTGCAAGCATCCTCGCCCGCGCGCACCGCAGCGCCCGGCCCGCTCGTTCAGGCGGTATCCCGCGGTTGCGTTGCAGCTGAGGCACTTGAAGTTGGTGGCCTGGCGGAAGCCGCGGGTCCTAAAGTGCGACATCATCTCCTCTGTCTTGGCAGCAACGCTGTGGTCGGTCTTGCCGCTGCTGCCGCCGCCGGACTTGCCGCTACCCATCAGCTTGCGCCCGGCGGCGGCCGCAGCGACGGCGGGCGCGGGGGCGCTCGTCGAGCCGCATGTCATGCATCCAGGCATGAGGTCCACGCAGGCGCGGCCCTTGCCGGTGGGCACGTCGTCGGCGGTGGAGTTGTAGACGGAGTAGAGCGTGTTCTCAGAAACCGCGAACTTGGAGCCGCTGTCGGCGTCCTCGCTGTGCACGCCGGCCTCGAGCGCCTTGGCGGCTTGCGCGTCGATGCCGGCGAAGGTGTTGGCGGCGGGGGCGGCGGCCGGCGCGGGGG